CTGATCTGAAACCAGACTAACTATATGAAAAAAAGAACTATAAGAAATGAAATAAAAATACTAAAAGTCGATAATTGGGATGAATATTGCTCGAAACTTAACACACACAGAGACCCTAAAAACTTCTGGTCTCACTTATAAGGATTTACTGGAAACAATTCAAACAAACACATATATCCCACACTAAAATACAATAGTACCATAGCCAACACAAACACATAAAAAACAGAAATATTCAAGAACACGTACAAAACATCAAACGAACCTACAATGAACACATCATTTTACAGTAAAGTTAATGACTACATTAACGCAAACAAAACTTTATAAACACCTTTCTTTCCCTAGAGGTCCAACCAGCAAGTAGCAATATTCAAAAAAACACGACTCAACAACTCATTAAACCAATAACTGTAGCAGAAATACAAGACACTCTCAAAATGGCAAAAAACAAGGCTCCTGGACGTGTCAAATACAATATATACTTATATAAAAAAAAAGGCATACCGAGACTGTACGAACATCCAGCTGCTATATTTATTCTATCCCTAGACCGAGATTACATAACTACTGCTTGGAAGCTAACGGACATTTTAATGTTTCTGAAAGAAGGAAATCCAGCAAGTAAACCAGAAAGCTAGAGACCAACCATCCTAACGAACTGTATTAGGAAACTACTAGAAAAATTAATCAGTTCAAGACTTTGGGCCCATCTCGAACTGATATCAAAATTACCGCAAGTACAAAATAGATTCAGTTAAAAAAAAAAGAAGACAAACCACAGATCATTTAATAAGATTTACAGGAACAATATTAGATAATTTTAACCGAAATTAATGCACTGTCGCTTGCTTTATCGATGTAGAGAAAACATTCGATATTGTATAGCACAACGGACTAAAATATCGATTGTCACAAATGAAACTACCGCGAGGTATTATTCACGGGCTCTCCAACTTTTTAGACAACAGGGAAGCTAGAATTAATATGTCGAGTACTTTCTCGGAGTATTTTACCCCTGAAGCAGGTGTCCCGCAAAGAGGAGTGGTTAGCTCTATTCTATTCATAATGATTGTGAGTAAAATGCTACTGTCCGATCCAAATGTCTGCTTCTGCTCCTACAGTAGTTTGCGAATGATGTGACTATCTGAATGAGCTCCTATACTCCAACCATAGCAGTGACAAATTTACAACCACTGTTAAGTGAAATAGAGAACTACTGTAAGATGTCGATAATCAAATAATATTATTCGCAAAATTAAAAAAGAAGAGCAAACAGACCCCAAAATTATACCTCCGTGGAACTTTTCTCTAGGTAGCCACATCAGCCAAATTCTTGGGACTAACCTACGACTATAAATGAAATTGGACTACATAAATATTAGAAGCAAAATCTGACGAAGGGTGAATTACATACTGGTAACAATAGAAAACATACTAAAAAAATCTATAAAAATTACATACTGTCACAACAGCGGAATTCACGTGATGCTGGTAACATGTAATGAGCATCTAGAACGTTCGTGAAGGCTCTAGTGTTTTCCAGACGCCCTCTATTTCGTATATATATGACCGGCAAGAAGTGACGAGGGAGAATAATTGCAGACAGAGAGATATAGAGACAGATAATCGAGTCAAGCCGTAAGTAAAGGCGTGAATCGTTGTGAATTCTAGCGTGTGTTTAAGTTAAAGTGACTGTGGAAATTAAGTTTATTGTAAAGTTGGATTTAGAAAGAATAAACTAGTTTTATTTAAGAAAGGACTTGTATCGCTGAAGTTTTTCAGAAGGAATTTTTATGGGAAATTAACAAACGACCAGAGACATAGCAATACGTCCAGTGGCAGAGTATGCCTGCCCATCATGGTTAAATGTAACCAAATCACATATAAACAAGTTACAAATAATACAAAATTTAATAATCACTAAAGCATACAGAGTTCCTAGGTACACAAACACAACCTTCTTACACAATTACGAAAACATCACCATGTTGCCAGACAGACTTCAAAATAGATCAATAGATTACTTTCGCAAAAATCATAAAAATAAATCATTAAGAACGCTAGAAAACTTTCACCACTTAATTTAGTAAACCCCTTATGTAATTTAATGCCACCTACTGCTGGGCAAACCGGTAGCTAAATATAGTATTGATTTTATTTTAAAAGGGTTTATTTATGTAAAAATAGAATTAGTGCTATATGTTTTCCATCGATATTTATGGAACTGTCTATGCTAACAAAACTTTATGTTGACAATGAACGAAAAGAGGAGTACATATCAGAAAATGTAATGGTTGCATAATGTAATGAAGGGTTTTCCTAGCTACCGAAGAATTAATGTGAGCTTCATCCACGAATCAAATCAACCGCCAAGGAGGGAGGTAAAGGTCTAGGGTGTACCCGATCCTCTCGGGTCATATGACCAAAACAACCATCAATGAAACACGTCGCAGTAGAGGACCTAGAGAGGAAATTTAACTATTTGGCTTAGGTAGAGAAAAGTATATTTCCGCAACTATTTTAGTCTCTATTTCACTTACAGCATTTTTTTTTACCCTACAACACAGGCTGTAGATTTTGCCAACTTTGGAGAAAAAATCTGAAAAGACACAAGTTATCTATACATCTACAGATTAATCTGCAGGTATGGCAACAAGTCCCGTGTGCCATCTGTCTGTCAGATTTACGAAATGAGCGCGCAAAGCACAAAATTTTGTACGCTCGGTAAAAATATTTGCAGGTTTAGGTCTCTTGGCTCTCTACGTGTCTTTTGGCGTGTTTCGAAATTATTAGGGTAAAATTGACACTTTTTATTGGAATTTCCAACTAGTTATTTATTCAACATACTGTTACGACAACGCAGGTCACGTGACGCTTGTATCACGCCACTTTCTTCTCGAACCTTCATGAAATGTCGGGAGACTACTAGATTGGGGTAGTCTTGTATATATAAGAGCGGCCAAGAAACAACGCGAGGTAATGTGTAATTTAACTGAGTATTGTTGAGTCGAGCACGTGAGACGTTCGTTGAGAATTATAGCGTTTGTTAT